TTAAAAGTATACACATTTACTGAAAAAATTCTGACGCTTAACCTTTAAATCTGACTAAAAACGGTATGACACGTGATAAATAACGTTGGGATAAAAATGGAGGTTATAATATAAAAACACAAATTTTTGTATGAGACAACCTAACCGTTAAATTATATAAACAGGTATGCATACAATCATACTATCAAAGGCATACTTTGTCACAGTTTTGCTATGAAGCCAACAGTTGGCTTCACAGTGGAGCCAACAGTTGGTTTACTTGTTGTATATAGAAGGTTGACTCCACTATGAAACCAACTGTTGGTTTCATAGCAAAATTGTACTTTATCATACTTTTGTTTGTAATCCCTCTCTATAAACTAATTCAAAACGTGTTGAGCTTAAGTAACAAATTTTCACGTTTCGGATGTTGACATGGCGAAAAAATCTATGCTTCGTGATGTTTTTAATTTTTGCTTTGGAGTTAGGTTTTGTATTAGACGTAAATAACTTTTATCATATATTTCTTAACTCAACACCCGTGTTGTACACGGGTATTGTACTAGTATTTTTAATGTAAGAAGTATTCTAATGAAAGTAGATTTGACCATAGATCGGCCTGTCCAATGTTGACGGTTTTGGGCCCGACCCAAACTGTTAACCATGGGCCTTGAACCACGAGTGTTATGGTTCTATAAACTCTATAAACTGTTGACCATGGGCCTTGACGGTTTTATACTTTCTCTTTCATTTCAATTATGGTTCTATAAACTCTCTAGATAACTCATTACTTGTAATCTTTAGATAATACTCTCATTTTTATTTATATATAAATTTTATTTATGTTACAAAATGTCAAGTGCTCGTTGAAAGCCATAGTGCTGATACCTAAAGCAGTGAACCAGATACCCACTACAGGCCACACAGCTAGGAAGAAGTGTAACGAACGAGAGTTGTTGAAACTAGCATATTGGAAGATCAATCGGCCAAATTAACCATGAGCAGCTACGATATTATAAGTTTCTTCCTCTTGACCAAATCTGTAACCTTCGTTAGCATACTCATTTTCTGTGGTTTCCCTGATCAAACTAGAAGTTACCAAGGAACCATGCATAGCACTGAATAGGGAGCCGCCGAAGACACCAGCTACGCCTAGCATGTGAAATGGATGCATAAGGATGTTGTGTTCAGCCTGAAATACAATCATGAAGTTGAAAGTAAGGGAGGTCACCAAAATGAAAAAATATATCATCTATGAGTGGTCAACCTCTATTACTAATGCCGACGGTATACTCAAACATTCCAGGTCTTCCCGACGATCTGGAGCCCGAGGAGTAAACATTCCGGCCTTCCCGACGATCTGGAGCCCGATGAGTTCCAACGCATCTTTAAATCCATTGAAAAAATCACAAGGGCTTAAGTGAACAAGAGAATTTCTTCAATAGTAGAAGCACACTATAGGAGATGTAAGTTTCAGAACATTATGAGAAATTATAACCAAATGAACAAATGCAAAAAACTCAAGGTACCCATAACAAAACTTTTCCATTTCTTCCTTCTCTATATACTACTATCTATATCCTTCTTTCAAATGCCCCAAAAAGAGCCATGAAAATCGATTTCGACAGCTCAAACAAACGACCAGTTGACGAAAGAGAAGGCTAGGCAGTGGACACTTTCCTCTTCAGCTGCCACAACTTTCCACACGAAAGCTTGTTCATACGACACCTGACGGCCCATTGTCGACACGCAGAATCCACTTGGCAAGTAAGCATATCCCTGCAAATGCAATCAGCAAAAGAAAAAAAATAAAAATAAAATGTAGTTATTATTATTAGAATTACGCAGAGGATAATAAACAACAACAACAACAAGAACAACAACAAAAACAAAAAAAGGGAAGAAAAGAGGTAAGTAAATAAAAAAAAAACTAGAAAGAACTACCTGTTGCATGATCTTGGCAAATTCGGAAAACAATGCCTTTTGACTCAAATCACCAAATATTTTATCGAGCGTGATGTCTTGTAAGGAAATCAACGTTGTTTCCAGCATGTCTAGGCCAGCCTGATTCACGAATACAAATACTGGTCGAGCCTGTGATCAAAGGAGCTACTTGTAATTCGAGAATCTAACGGGGTTTAATTAGCAAATTGTTGTAAATTCTATGTATAGAACAATTTTAGAATATTCATGTGTACCTTCAGAGAGCAGCATATGATAGCATCTTGATGATGCCAAAGTGATTTTAATACAGAGTCACAACTCAGCGAGTCGATTCTTAGCAACTCAGTCCCCACATGGGAGCTGCAAAGTAATGCCAAAAAAAACACGATCGATATTTGAAGAAAACAAAGTGAATCACGATCGATATTAATAAGCACACAATATCCAGTACCTATAGCTCTTGCAGATCCAATGTGCGAGAATTGAGGCTTCAGGAGAGCCAGCAGAGGACATACTGGGCCCAACAGTGGGCCCAAACCCGAATGGGGATAAGGCCAAGGCAACCTTTTGTACGGATGAGATCACGCCACGCACATAATGTCGAGTCATTGTGGCTACAGTGTCGTGTAAATTGCTGGCGCATGGGAACTGGAAAGCAATTGTCAGTATCGATCGTGGGCTGTAAGTTGGGCCGCTGTTTTCGGCGGTATGGCCCGTTTTTGTTGTTGGGTCAACATCGAGGCCCAATGTCAAATCGAGCGTTTTGTGTGGCATCAATGTATTATCCTTTGGCTCACCCTGTGATAAAAATTTTCAACATTATACCATTGATAAGTTTTACGATGATAACCGGTTGAACACTTCGAATCATAAAATCGAAAGGAAAAAACGAACAAAAGATTATTACTACACAACTGAATTCGTATCGAGAGGAACTATGCGAAAACCGGAATGCAGCAAAGGTGCATCATCTGGAAACATCTCGCCTATTGGTGCAAAGACGAGTTCCGAGCAAGCTCCCACTGCATTCTCATCGATCCCACTACACATCTGCATTATATGAGTAGAAAATAAATTAGAAAATATCAAAATGCTGAAAAACAA